CCATGAATTAGCTAATGACAATCATTAGCTGGATTACTGACATCAGCCCTACAGGAGCCTAACACTGCTAAGATCTGAACCTCCCCTGACCTATCCAAAGGTTCCCAGTGGACAGCAATGACCAAATGGCCCTAAATTTAAGGCCCTGAAATCCCTCTTCCTTCACCGTTACCCGTCAAGGTAAATTCTTCTTCATCTTGGCATAATAATGTTGCAAGGACTTCAAAGGAGTTTGAAGGAGCCAACACTTTAATTGATTCTAAGGAAAACAGGCATTATTTTTATAGCAACCCAGACATAACATGCAAAAATTTCAGAACACTACTCTTGCCATGTCCTGCCAGGGCTCACTCTTTCTGTGCGAACTGGCAGTTTGAATCTCCCCTGCGGAGCCCAGATCTCTGCTCCTGAGACACTTTATGAATGAATCTCTCCCACCCTTCCCACTCTCACAGGCACGCCTGTCTTTCCATTCACTTTTTGCTGCCTGAAATTAGGGACACGTTCGTTTGCACGATTCCCACCTGACTCCTCCAGCAGGAAGGGAGGCCTCCTGTCTCGTGCACTGCCGTACCCTCATCATCCAGCTCTCCCATGCCTGGCCCCTGCATGCAATAGAGCCGCCCAGTACTGTGTACTGCAGAAGCAATGTGATAAATGGATTTGTATACATAGACTTCTTAAAACATTACTCGTCTTTCATACTCGCTGCTCATTTTCTATATCAGCCGTGTTGCCACTCCTCATGGCCCGGCAACAACTTTCAGTAATGTGAACGAATGTTACTCCCTCCTCCTATCCACCCAGCTACCTGATGGGAGAAACTCAGGCACCTAGTTAGTTTTGAAAACTTAGAGTCAGCTCGCCTCCTGATGCCCTCCATCTTCAGGTCCTGAGAGGGATCTCAGTGTAAATGAAGTCTATTTCCTTCCAAGTGGGGCTCACTTCACAAACACCCAGACTGACAAATCTTTACTCTACAAGAGCTCCTTTATTACAACTTCCCAGGTATCTGCGTGTTTGAGCAGAAACCATGAACTAATTGTCAGAGAAGCTGTTGAGTAAGGGTGTGGCAGAAGAGCTAAAGTTAAACGACGAGAGGCCATGCCAACTGACGTGCATTCAGCAACGATAAACCCTCTGGAGGATCCAGGAGAAAGAAACTCAAACAAGCATTCAAATTTATCAAAACACTGTTGATGGGCACAGAGATGTTTTATCTTTTGTTGGTCTAAAATAAATGTTCTTGTGAGTCTACTGCCTAAGCTATTTTATCCACAAGCCTTGTAGCAACCTGTGCAAAGTATCCTGCCTGCCTTCCTGCCTGCCTGTCTGTCCATCCTTTCACCCACCATCCATCTGCCTTGTACCCCCCCCCACATAACTAAGTATACATGTGGCTACTTCTGCTGAGCATTCCGGCTCTCTGTCTACCCATGGACCTTGGGGTGCAAATCTTCAGCCTCACCTGAGCATTAACAGATTATTCTACAAGTCAAGACAATTTTATTTTTTGGCAAAAGAAAACAGAGGTCACCCAGAGAGATTTGATGTTCTGAGACCCGGCTCTTGGCACCTGTCAACGCTATGTGCCTCCTGTGTTGCTGTGGGCGAGTTTCCTGGACCTCTCTGACCCTTAGGTCCCTCATCGGGAGACAGAGCATGGAAAGAGCAGCTACAGAATCGGGACACCTGAGAATTCAATGGGAAAAGCCAACTCTTGGTGAGAGAGAGATGTCAGTGAGGGTGAAGACAATGATAAGACCATGTAAATTCATACTCCTTGCAAACTTTGAGGCTTTTTTTCCTTTCCTTTCATTTGTGGGTCAGCTGGTTCCAAAGACTCGTCACTGTGAAGACTCGGGGCTTCCTGGGTACATCCCTGGGGGTGGCCTACTGCGGGGAAAGGTGACACCAGAGATTTAAACCTTTTTCTGCTTCCTCATTCTATTAATCTGGCCATTAAGCACAGAGAGTCCTGCAGATACCAACAGATGCATAGCTCCACTGTGCAAATGGCAGAGAGCATTAGGGAATTCCTCGGCAGCAACTCGTTCATCTCCCCCAGCTCACAACAGCTGCATGAAGACAGATTAACCAAGCACTGGCTGAGGAGCAGCGTAGTCAGTACTAGGGGGAGCGAGGGCATGAAAGAGTGGGTGCTGGTGCCCAGGGTCCATGCAGGCAGGGCTGAGCAAGCTCATGTGTGACGACACTAGGACATTGTTCTCAGTGACTCCCAGCGGGGAAGCCCACCTGAGAGCCCCAGGACGGATCAGGCAGCGGAGAGGAAGTGGGAGCTGAGCCCCTGCACAGACCTCATGTGCCATGTCACCTCAGCTTCTTCCAAGCTGTCACATCTCTTGCCTTGCTTTTGGGACACGGGTAACATTTGGGACACCAGTTTCTGACAGAAGACCTCGTCCTGCCCCTTTTCTTGGCCTGCCTGCAGGCAGCAGAACAGGCTCCCACTGCTCACCCCACTGCAAGCTGAGACCCAGCCGGAAGTCAGCCCTGGCCACAGGCTTTTCCTAGCAGCCACACAAAGAACATTTGCACTCTGGTTGGGTTCCAGCATCTGTTTAGCATGGGAAATCAGAACCAAAGAAAAAAAAAAATATCCCACAGCTCCCCAAAGACCAGGAACCAGAAGAGACCAAGGAGTGTTGTTTGGTGACAAATTGAGTCATTTCCCCAAAGGCATGGCACGGATGTGGAAAGTGTACCTCGTGCCACCGCTGGCTGCGGATGGAGGCTGAGGTCCCATGGGCTAACAGATAGAGCTTTAAGAGAAGTCATTGTGTAGGACAAGCTATCACTCTTATAAAGTGATGGCCAAAGCCATGGCATGTGACTGCTCTTTCCAGTGGTGGCTTAGAAGGGCTGGCATGGTCTGTCCAGAGTGAAGGATATGGGAAGGTCAGGGACAGAGCCAGTCTGGGGGCAGCTGCTCAGTCTCGAGGACAAGACTGGGCTCCCAGAGTTCTGGACACAGACTGTTTGCCCCTGGATTTTCCTGAGCCTAGTTAGTCTTCCAGGGAAGGGCTGATCAAGATGCAAAGAGCCACCATTTACAAACATACCCTGAAAGTTCTCTAGTAATCCTTTGGGTAAGACAGGGCAGGGTCTGGAAGCAAACGTTTTCCAAAGTGCAGCACACAAACCTCTGGGGTACATTGAGATGGCTTGAGATGGCACTCAGAGGAACATTTTCAGTTTAATGCTTACCTTAATGCTCTGCCCCACCCCAAATGTAACTAGCACTTCAAACCCATGAGTCATGGATATCACTACTTGAAATGGTGCTTTTCCGCCTGGACACCATGGAATCTGGGGTGGATAATGCCTTCCTGGGGACAGTTGCTCCATGCCTGAGAGACTGAGCAGCAACCCCGGTCTCTAGAAATAAACCATGCTCCCTACAACCAGGCAAGACAACCCCAAATGCCTCCAGACATTGCCACATATCCTCCAGGGGTCAAAATCACCCCTACTTGAGAGCCATTAGCTTAGGACAGTCTATCTCTTAAAGGAAAGTTAGTTCAGTTAGGGAAAAATGTGTCTCCAGGTAACTTACAAAGCAGGTGAAACTGACATGTGCAAACAATGGCAAAGGGGTGTGTGAATAATGGGAGAATGGGAAAAACCAGAGTGGAGGACGGCCCAGTGGCAGTAAGAAGAGACTGGACCCTTTATTCTCTCACAGTCACAGCCTCTGTGTGTCGTGCCAGGACCACAGCCTGGTGACCCCTGGGGCTGACAGATCCACTGGGGAACAAGAGGGCAGGCTGTCCCCACAGCTTCTGGCACTCCTGATATTCTGGCCACTGTGAAGCAGGATAGGTTTGTTCCTCCCCTCATCCCCCTTGGGGAGGCCCAAGCAGAGATGCCAGGGACAGACAAGGACTCCAGGAGGAGGGAAGGGAGAAGGAGGCAGGTGGTCTCTGCTAGTATGCTCCAGAAATCTCTAAGGAGCTGTTATTCAGCCTCGAAGTGTTCAAATAGCTTTGAGTGCATCTGACACTTGAAAAGTGTTCACCGTGGGGCGGAAGGCAGCCCATCCTATCTTTCTTGTCTCTTTACTGTCTGGTCAACTCAGACACAGAGATAATGAGATGATCTACCTAGATATGTCCCCATCAAATCCAACAGGAAAGGCAAAAGTCCAGCTGGTTTAAAAAACTAACACAAGCCCTTAGTGTGTACCCCTGACTTTATAGACGTTATTTTCTATAGACATCATTTCCTGTGGTTCTCACAAGAGCCCAGCGGGGAAGGGGCACCATCTCAGCGGCAGCACTCCTGAGGCAAAGAGAGCAGGTCTGGGGCCCCACCGATGCTTCAGGCCTGGAGGACACAGGACTAGATTCTACCTGGGTTGACGGATGCAAAGGCATGTGCTGAGAGCTGCTGCACTCAGGCCCCCAGGCGAGCAGACAGCAGACAGAAGGGCCAGGGCACCCTCACTGGTCCCACGGGTCACGATCCCCACATGGAAACACCACTGCCTATGCGAGCAGACAGAAGGCTCCAACTTCCTGTCCTGACAGTTGGGTCCTGCTGCCTACACTGCCAAGGAGTAAAGTCCTCCAACTTCAAAACCAGAAGAGAGCAACATCTTCTCTTTCCACATCTCACTTTTATCTCATCATTCCCTTTGAATTTACCTCCTTGCGATTGCTGGGAAAGAGCAAAGGATGGAGGGCAACTCAGAAGAGACTGTTACTGTTCTTGCCCCAGTGATGCATCCATGTACACACACACACACACACACACACACACACCCAGAGAATTACACACACATGTGCATACTCAGCCAGAGTGTGCGTACACATGCCTATGTACCCACAAACCCAGACGGGGCAGGGAACAGCCTTAGCATGCCAATGAAGCCCTTCTGGGCCATGAAGCCCAGAGGTAAACACACAGTCAATCCCTGGAGAGCTTGTCCTGGAGCACCAAGGTGCAGAGAGGTGAAAAAGACAATGGGAAATACTCACCTGGGTCTCCAAGGTGATCAGCAGACTTGGGTGTGGATCCTGTGGGAAGAAAGGAGAAAACACTCGTAAGTGGCAAGGTGAAAAGTTAACTTCTAAGCATCATTTTTGAACAAAGCTTGATTTTCTCAGTGCTCAAACTCTGGGATCTACCGAACGTTAGCGCAAGAACATCTTGGACCAATCTGCTCCCTCTCTGCCCCCAACACTTCTTCCCACACCCCAAAGGTGAAAGAAGCCCAAATGTGTACACCCTTGAAGCAGAGGACAGAAAACAAGAAATGCAAAGAAAGCTGAGAAGCACCATCCCCGTGTATCTCCAGAAGCCTTCAAATCATCAGTATGAAGAATTCGGGTCCTTAAGAAGATTACAAAGAAACCTGCAAGAATACAAAAGCCTAGGGCCGGGGATTTAGCTCAGTGGTTCTGGTGCCTGCCTAGCAAGCACAAGGGCCTGAGTTCAATCCCTGGTACATTAAAAAAAAAAAAAAAAAAAAAAAAAAAAAATACAAAAACCTGATTCAGGGCAAGGCCATCAGGTTTGGACTGATCTTGGGAAGAATGAAGGAAGAAATGAGAAGGAGAAAGAAAAAGAGGGGATTAATTCCTGGTGTGAACAGCACATTCAAAGAGCCCAGGAAGATCCTTTGAGGACAGAGGCGCCAGAGAAACATCCTAGTCATTTACTCCCCACAAAAGCCAAGTGACTGGGAATGCTGGGTGGCAATGTCCCGGATCAGTAAGCATGAACACTTTGGGTTGAGGAGGGACAGGGAGGGACAGGAGGAGGAAGACGGGTGGGGAAGGTGGTGGTGTTCAGTGAGTGGTTTCCGAGGAAAACAGGAAAGCCAACACATAAAAGCTGTTTTCGTTTGCACTGTGTCTGCTCCCAACTTAACCATCCTGGGTTCCGGATTCCAGCCAAACAACTGTAAGCGGCTGCTTACAAAGAATGAGCATGATTTTAGGACTCTGAAGTAGAAATCCATCTGACGCTCAGCTTTATCCTGACAGATTTTCCAACACAAGTTTTATGGGAGCCATGCAAATTAGCACCAGCCCAGGGCCTATATCACACACAAGAAGGAAGCCAAAGGTTTCTAAATTCCTGCTGTAGGTGAGCTGCCACTTGCTTTCTTGATGCGTGTTCTTCACCATCATCATCATGATGCCTAATTTGGATGAGCAGAAAAGATGTGATTGCAGACACATTTTGAACTCTGGTCAGTGCTGGCCTTTCTTTTAAGGCGGAGGATTCATCTGGACACAGTCACGACACAGTCAGGGAGCACCATAGGGATGGCGACAGGGAGAATCCTGGCTCTTACCTGTTACTCATTAAAAGCACAGTTCATGTTTCCTTCTGTGACAGTCAGGGACTAAAAACAGTTTTGCTAAAAATCTGTCTCTTCGTTCAGGTCTAGAGATGCCCAGTAGGCAACTATCAGCAGAACAAATTTGACCTTCATTTCGTATTCTTTGCTACAGTAAATCCTGGGACAAGTCCCTTCTCGACCCTGCATAGGGGCATTTGATCATCTAGGGAGTTTCTCCAGAGGCTGGCCAGACAGAATCGCTAAGCCCTGAACTGATGTGATCTCATCCACCTTGAAGACTCAAGACACCACAATAAGAGGTTTACAGGGACATTCAACTATTCCCAGAAGTCTCCAGCCACTGTCCTAAACCTGTGATCACCTGGATTCCAGGAAAAGCAGAGCCCCACATGCCTGAAAGCACCACCAACAGAGACAATCCTTTCCTGGGAACCAATCCAATTCTTAGCCAGGACTCCAGAGCTATAAAGCCAGGACTGAGACAATAATCACCAGGACCGCAGCATACCAGCTGGACCTTAAAAACTGGCCTCCCGTATCTGTGGGTGAGCCAGTCTGAACCCCTGTACTCCCTCCACCTACTCAAGCTGGAGTCTGCTCCTATCGTCCTTCTAACTTAGCAACTTTGCAATTAAAGTTTTTCTTTTCCTATAAATTTGTGCTTTAGTTTTAATTTCCATTCGTACTAAAGCAAGGGCCCACACTCACTGGCAACAATGTTTCCCCCCTTCTACTTGGTAGTCCAGTCCCTAGTCCTTCTACGCTGGTATTGCTCCAAGGAATTTTCCCGAGAACACCTCTCTCATGCTCACATTCCCCAGGCATTAAACTCTCCTCAACCCCAGGAAAATTTTGAGGGGAGCATTTTTACCTCTCTCCCCTTATCAAACATTAGCCCAAAAAGAACCTGGAGAAGTCAGAAGGAAACAGTTCAAGCCTCTCTTTAAATGCTCACCACTTCCTCCACAAAGGTGAAATGACAACTGCCATCAGTGAGAAGTCCGCTTTTAGGGATTAGCATGCTCGCTCTTTTAGCCACCCTTCCTGAGACATGCTTGTGTTAGTCAGCTTTTCATTGCCGTGGACTACGAAATAACTAAGAAAAACAGCCTACCGAAGGAAAGACTCATTCTGGATCATGGTTTCAGAGGTTTTAGTCCGTGGCCAGCTGGCTCCATTATTTTGAGCCTGTGGAGGGGCAGCACATCATTTCAGAAGGGTGTGGCAAAGGGAAGCTGCTCACCTCATGGTACTCAGGAAGTAGAGGGAATACGAGAGCCAGAGAGGAAGAGCTAGGCAGCAGGTAAAGTCCCCAAGATCATGCCTCCGTAGTCCACTCACTTCAACTACACCCTTCCTGTTTCCATCATGTCTCAAAAAGCCATCAAATGATGGTCTCATCACCTTCCAAAGGCTCCACCTCTGAACACAAAGATTGGGGGGTCATTTTGGATCAAAACCATGACAAACCTCTACCCAGCTCCCTCATCACTCATGTGTAGGAGGAGTTAGCCTTGTACTTCTCAGTTCCAGGTTAAGCAAGCACGAAGGCAGGGACCGGTTTAATCTCTGGGAAGCAAGATCATCCTTCTGTGCTTGTGGGTCCTTCTTATGACTGGCATGGTATCAGACCTTGTGCATGCTGCTTAGTGATCAAGAACACACAGCCTGTGATCTTCATGTCACTGCCAGTCTGTGGCTGTGTCTGTCCATCTGTCTTTTTACTCAGATCCCACCATCTAGATTTTAATTAGAAAATCAGAAGCTGCATCTCAGCCTCAAAATTAGCCTAATTCTCAAAGCCAACTCCTAGCAAAGCACTGCACTGGGGTGTTGGGTGCCTGCCCAGATTAATTAAGCTGTTCTTCACAGCCCATTTGGCTATTGTTTGGGGCTTATGCTTCATTGCTCAGAATCCCAGGATGGTAAAGAGAGGGGAAGGGTTTCCTGAAACCCCAAGAACAACTTCACTGGAAAAGACTTTCCTTGGAAATACCTGTCAACTTTATTGACAAAACCAAGAGCCTGGTCCCTTTATGCTGTGAAGCACTGGCTCTTTATTTTATGTTCCAAGGTCACAAACCCTGTGGGTGCACCGTCAGGGGTCCAAGATTTACCAAAAAGCTTCTCGAAGACAAAAGAACAAGAGCTACCTATTTAGCATCTTAATTAACCAGCCAGAAAGAGGATAAAGTAGTCACAAGGGGCCATATCATTAACACTTACAGTGCACTTGCCAACAAAATTTTGTTCTTCTCTCTGAGAGCACAGTGGAAATGTAAGGCTCTCCCCGCAGAGGCTCAGGCCAGAGGATTCAAGGTATGACTGTATATCTGTGAGGTCTCACTTTCAGCAACATCCTCCTTAATTGGAAAGGCTAACGAAGTGGAACTGGGTCAAGGATGCTGTCTGCCTAATCCATCGTGTCTGTCTAAATTGGGATTCTTAGGTTTACAGTAGAGTAAATTCCTGTCTGTCAGAGGGAAGGCTCCCGGAGACCAGAGGGAATTTGCAGCAAGCCTGCCTGCTCCAATGGAGTGTGTACAGAATCTTAACGTGGGTGCCAGGAACTGTGGAACCTCTGACGGCAAAGGAGGCCCTTTCGGACCATCTTCTGCAGTGACCAAGTTGGGGAAGTCGAATGGGGAACTAGAGAGACAGGAACTAGTGGGCCTCCTGGAGCCACGCCCTCTGGTCACATGACTTTGCAGTTCTTTAGGTGAGCTTCTCTACCCCTTTGCAGCTTGTGATTCAGCAGAAAGGGACTCAAGCAGAAGCTCTGAACATTCTAGAGCATGACCTTTGCGGTTTTGCCATCGGGAGAACAAGACCCAGGTGGCCCTGAAGATCCAGAGAATCAGAGTCATGTGAAGCAGACCTGGAACCAACTTGTGGCTTGGACCAAAGCCGGGCCTAGACCAACACATGCTTGGTGTCTCAACACGCTGAGTTCGGGGTCATTTGGTATCCAGCATTACTGTGACAGTAACTTGAGGTGCTCTCCAGACACTGATCTTGAGATAACCGGAAAGTAATATGGTCACAAACCCACATAGCTTTGGAACAAAAATAAGCCAAACTTTCTGGATGTCTATAATTAGATTTCAGGAACCTGAAATAACCATTCTCTGTAGGTATCATTTACCAGGGGCTTACCATGTGCCAGGTTCTGCCTATCTGCACTATTATACCAAGCAAAGACACACCTGGCTGTGAGGACCCAGTACTGCCCCCCAGCTAACCTCCATCCGTTTTTGCTACAAATAGTAGACCTTGGAATTTGCAATTTAGATGCCATTACAACAACATTAAAGGAGATGATGACTCCAAAGCCTTCTGCCCTGAGATACAAACCCTTTTCATTTCTCAGACTTATCTTTAATTATATTCCATGGCTGTATGATTTGACCAAAAGTTAGAACTGTTGAAAAATATAGGTGGAGCATCTCTCATTCAAAAGGACTGAAACCAGAAGTGCTTCAGATTTGGGTACTTTTTGAGATTTCACATATTTGCAACTGTTTTCAGCCATGGCAGGTTGTTCGAAAAGTTTCTGATTTCAGGGCATTTCAGATTTCTGGATTTGAGCTGCGTAAGGTATAGTAATAACTGGTATTTGTTAGGATCTTATCATGTGCCAGGCACTGAGTTTAACTTCTACGTACATATCATTTCATTTACCCTTGTACAACCAGAAGAGGTTTG